CAGACCCCTATAGCCTTCTTGAAATACACGCTGGGTCCGATAGGCTCCGCAGCGCTTAGAGATCTTCACGAGACGTGAAGTCTCCTCCTCCTGATGTTCGTGGAGTCCTCCAACTGGGGCGGAAACCACTCAAGCGTCTTATACGGCTAGCAAGCCAATCGCTAGCTGCCACGTAGGAATAATTTAGAACTGACCAATAGTGGGGCACAAATCTGAATACAAATGGCGGGAACTCCTTTGCAACGTGCATTTCTGTGTTGCAACGAAGAAATGCACCCTGCAAAGAAAGCTACGAGTGGCGGGAAATAATTTAGCAGTGCCGAAGCACGCACAAACAAAAATCACACCCTTGGGTTGTGACAGCGCACACACTGCATTCTTGGTAAGATCAGCAACTCCTTTCCCTTGCATCCATGTGCTTGTGGGCTTTTTGAAAAAAATAGTATTGGTGTTAGCCTTAATCAATGGTTCACATTTCCATACTACTCCATAAACAGAAGGCAAAATCCTTTAAAGAAATAAAACTCTCTACCCTTCATGTGTAGAAAATTCTCAGAGAAGACTGGAAAGGCTTTGCCTATTCCTGCAATATCTTTTTCAGTATTTACTTTCTGTTAAACCAAATCAGTTCTGGGGCCTGACATTGTATAATCATTATGTAAACCAGGGGGGTCAGAATCCTCAGACCCTGTGGGCTAGATGACTGGTACAGGGCCAGTCCACAGACCAGATGAATTGTGCAAGATGGGCCCTGTGGGCTGAATCGGACCTGCAGGCCCGATCCAGCATGCATGCTGGACCAGCTTGGTGTAGGTTCTTCATGCAGAGTGCATCCCAGACTGGCCCTACATGGGCACTGCATGCAGCATGCATGCCAGACTAGCCCCTTATGAGTGCCACATGTTGTGCACATCCCAGACTGGCCCCGCACAACATATTAGCACACTGGCCTAATCTAGCATGCGGCATGTGGGTCAACAAATCCATGAGCAGCACTGCAGACTAGAAGTTAGGGCTCTGTGGTAGGGGTGCACCAATAAAGGATTTCTTGGCTGATACCAATAGCCAATTAATAAATCAACCAAATTGGCTGGTGCTGATGCTGATCTGATGATCCATATTTAGTAATAATGCAAGGCATTGCAAACTGCTGACATAAATAAACTTTTTTTGTTTTGTTTTTGGCAAGCTCCAGCAGTGTCCTGAATTTCATGTATCAGCATCTCCGCACTTAAATGGCGGTGGGGGTGCTTGAACTAAAACTTTTAAAACACAAGGACACTGATATGCATGAGGCACTTTTATTAGAGTGGCTGTTGGAGCCACCCCCAGGGCATGTATAAAAGTGCCCATGCCGGTTGCAGCAGGTGGGGCTGGTCTAGCAGTGCCTGCGACACTGTGTGGAGCCCTTCAGCCCCTGCTGTTCCACATAAAGCCCTTGAACCCAAGACCAGGGCTGCCCAGCAGGGCTGAGGGGGAAGGTGTGAGCCTTCCTGGCTGCCCGGGGCTGGGTGGTCTAGCTTACTGGGGAGGGATCCCAGGCATCCAGGGGCCCCAGTCCCTGGCCAGAAAGCATAATTATCAGTAAACATTATTGGCTACAGTGACCAAAAAAAGCTGATAATGTCATTTCTGTTTTATCAGTGCCGATCGGATAGGCAACTAATATATCGGTACACCTCTACTCTGTAGGCCTGACCCAAGCCCATGAGCTATATTTTTTACATCTGTAGTGTAAGTCATTCTGGGCATATGAAATAAAAATTGGACTCTAACCCTTAAATATTGGAGTTCTGAAACTTTGGGAGGCTAGATTTGGCAGCTCATATTAGGACCTGATTAAGAGCAATTAGCTGCATCCGTTTCTTGTTGAGTTGCAGTTCGCCTCTCCGTTTCCTATAAATATGCTGAACAGAGCTGGAAGTCGAGAGGTTCTGTCTTTCTGCAGCGTGACGCTAGATGGAGCTGTTCTCTGACAAAGAACAGATTGTTCTGAAGTCTTTGCACTGTGGTATGGAGAGTCTCTGCCTTGCACTAGCTGTGGTTTTTGGCTACAGCTTTCAGTTCCTGAAGGATAAGTACAAGCTGTATACTGTGTGCTTCAAACATTTGCTTCAATAGAACATATAATTTAACCCCACAACTCCTGGATTATAAAGGGTTTGTGGGCAACTTTCAGTAGTAGAGACTGTAAAATGAAGATGGAAATGAAAATATATTGGTAATAATAGGCAGTCCTCAATCCCATCTCCTTGTTGCTTCATATGCTACTCTGAAACAATAAGATGGAAGAACAAAGGTTATTTCTTATTACAACATTTTGAATATTTTAAATCCTGAGAGGCACAGTGTTTTTTTTTCCTGCTACCCTAGTATTTTTTTTGTAGTGTTGGTGTCCCACATCAATTGTGAATGGATTCCCAATCAGTGACATTTTGGAACAGGTTACATCTGTCTGCAGCCTGATAGATTTACACTGCAGTGCATCAAGGCTGTCCCAGTTGAACTGTTACTGGGATTATTGTGCTTAAGTGATTTGTACTAATCTCTGAATTACCTCAAAACAGGAGAGCTTACAGGTTTCGTGGGGGAGGGGTTATATTCAGTGGGGTACATACACTTGGACAATTCTGTCTCAGAGTGTCTATGAAAATATTTAGGAGCTGTAGGTTAAACTCTAAAGAATAAAAATAGGGATAAGGCAGCCATAGTTAAATATTATTGCATTTGTCTCTCATACCAGGCATGCCCCTTTGTCATTGACATCTATGCAGAAAAATGCAAGCCAAGAATTAAACCTGTTCATCTAGAGGCAAACAGTGGGCAGCTTAACAGAGCCATTTGCAAATCTGTTGTTAACCAAGGAGAAGCCAAAGTAATGGATGGATGTGAAAGTATAATTGTCCACACCTACAGAAGTGAGGCCCGGATCACTTCTGTTATTGAAAATAAGGTACTGTGCAAGAAGTCTCTTATGCATGTTACACACAAGTTTTTGGTGTCAATATTTATTATTTTGTTCTTTCCTTGTCCTTGTGAAGCTTTTGTAAATATTGTATAGAAAGAAAAAAACACCGTTTCTTAGGTTCTGACCTGAAGCCCACTGAAAACAGTAGGATTTTTTTCCCATTTCCAATAGACACTGGATCAGGGTCCAAGATGCATTCATTTACTAAGGTGATATAGAGCACTTACATACTGCATAATATATATCAACAGAAGTTTTATCTATGTTTTCCACAACTTTGCAAATTTCCAGTGTAAAGTTAAGCTCCACTCTAGAATGGTAAAAGCAGAACACACAAATGCTACTTAAAAGAGGAGATAAAAAGGCAAAAGAATATTAAAAATGGCAATTCTTTTTAATATTATTAGTTTAATGTGAGCACACTGACTTACAGAAATTTGGGGTTTTAGCAACTTATGATGGCTGGAGTATTAAAGTACTACCCTTAAAGGTATACTTAATTATTTGTCCAAACTAATAAGTGTAAATCAGCGCAAAAGTGTTCAGTAAGATGCAAGCAGAAATGTTAAAGCCTTTTGCCTGGCTCCTAGTGGATGTTCTGTTCTCACACAGTTTGATTCATGTAAGGATCTCTGAGGAAATTAATGTAACACAGTAAGGTGCTAAAATTAGGATGCTTTAACCTTGTGGGGCCACCTTAGGAATCCATTTTTTTAGAAGGGGATATGCAGTAGGAAGAGAGGGCTTGATGATATGTTTTACAGGTTGCAATGAGCACTTCACTGTTTGAAAGTAGATGAATGGGGGTTTCATGTAGCTTGGAAATTTTTCAGATAAATTCTTAAGAACCAAGGCACAAATTCTTGACTGATGGAAGTGGATACAGCTGCATTAATCTCAGTAGACAGAATTTGCCCTTGCAAGTTTCGCTGCTCTTTACTGGAACAGTTTGTTCAATTTTCTTGTCAATAGTATTAGTTTTACTGTTTCATTATAAACATTTTCAGAAAATACATGAGTTATTTTATGCCCATCTCCATTCTCCTGTTCTCCACAGAGCAACCATCTTAGTTGGGAACTAGTGCTTCAAATAGTAAATGCAGGCATTGATTGCAAGTATATCTGCTGTGGTTGCTGCTTTTTGTTATTTCTGTCTTTTGTTATTTAAGCAAATATATTTGTCATTTGGCTATAGGCTCTCTCTGGCCCTTCTACAGGCTTACACAGTAGCATAACAAGCAGTAGGTAACCAGGGCACAAGCTCTGGGTTTTCATTGGAGGTGGTGCAGGAATGGCAACCCTTGCTGCTGCAAGTCCAGCTGCTACTGCTGGCCTAGCTCCTGTTGCTGCCCTGGCATCCAGGATACAGCTCCAGGCTGTTATGCCTCTGGGCTTACAGTGAATGTAGATGAGATGGGAGACAGGATCCTCACTCTGTCTGGGCAGATCAGTGTCTGGGCAGACACTGTGCCTCCAGGAATGCTCTTGCCTGTCCATAAAGGCACTAAAGGAACTGTTTTCAGGGTATACCTCTCATTTGAAATAGAAATCTACAACACATCACCTGCACATGGTGAATTTTGGTTTGACTTGTTCCTATAGCCCCATATTTCTTACTGTACAGAATCCTTTTTCTATATTTCTTCTACTAGCTGCCCACAAGAGAAGTGAGAGCATCTCGAAATTGTAGGGCAGTAGCAGAGTAACAGCAATAACAAGTTTTAACACAGAGCAGTGTTTATCTTTTTGCAGCTCCAAGAGATTTCACATGTAATTGCACATGAATTGTACTCTACACAGACCTTTTGTACCACAATCTCCGCAGACAGCACTTCTGCCAATCCTTATCTGTCTAGTTGCAGGATCTCCTGCTGCATAAAGTCTGACAGTCTAATGTAACTGTGTTCCTATTCCATTTCACAGTGAAGAACAGAGATTGTCTGATAGCATTTTCTAGGAATTACTTTCATTTCTCTGTGCCCATGTTGAATCAAAATTTATTTAAACACAACTGAAAGGCAATGCATGCTGACATGTCTTTCAGTCTTATTTCCCAGTTTGGAAGGGTGTTTGATTGTTTTTCTGAGAGCGTGTAACATATTAGATCCAGTCTATGGGTCCAGTCTGGGCTCATTTTATATAGCACTACCCAGGATTGTGGCACTTTGCTGTTGAATATACTGGGCTAGTCAGTGCTGAGGCTGAGTCCACAGCAGCTCCGTAATTTGTTAGGAAACCATGCAGCTGCCTGAAGCTCCCCTTATTTCCAAGGTTTCCTGTGTGGATTCTGAGCTGCTTTCCTCCCCAGTCAAGCACTGAATACTACAGAGAAAGGCAGGGGAGGACTCAAAGTTAGCCCGGAAGGCAACATGGCCTGTGCAGTCCCACCCAACATCCTTGGTTTGGTGTTTGGATGCTGGAAAGTCACTTTGCCTCTAGGCATGCTGTGCTGGCAGCCAGGTAGCATTTAGGAAGGATGTGTACTCCACTGGGGATGGATGAGTTGGACCGTTACCAAGTCTCAATTACCATGTTCTCTCGAGATTTGCAAAAACGCCTGCATCTTTCAAGCCAGGTGACACTATAGAGCTGCTTGAAATTCTGTGCTGTGGACTTCAGTGTGGTCTGCACAGGAGCTCTGCAGTACTGCTAAAATTTCTGCTTCCATTACAGAAAAAACAGGTTTACCACCAGCTCTTTATGCGCAGTCAAGTTTCTCTCAAGAGGTGTGTGCCTAGTTTCATTGGAGGAGTTAGTCCATAATTTCAGATTCCTTTAATTGTATTGATTGCTGCATATTTAAAAATTATTCCATCTATATGGCACCTTTTTAAAGAGAATATTTATAACAAATTCATGATCTACATGTATCAGCATAACAATATACACCAGCGCAACTTGTTAGTACTGTTATCCTGTGAATCTTTTTAGGGTTTGTTTCAGGACAACAGATATGGACATCTGAATGATTGCACTTTGTCCTAAGATAAAATGGTTTCTTTTGGGACAAATGTAATGTCTCTTTGTAGCCCACATCTTCATTTACTTCATGACTTTAGCACTTTGAAAATGAATGTAGGCCCTGAAATTACTGAGGTGGACTTGAAAAATGTACTGTATGTTTAAATGAGTTTCCATTCAGTTATAATAGCAACTTCAGAGAAAATAATCAGATTCTTGACGTTTTTTAAAAAGTAATTTAAGCATGAAGACTAATAACATCTCTAATTTTTTTCCACTTACAGTCTGAAAACAAAGTGATTATTCATGTCAACAATGAGCAGAGTAAGAATTGTATAAATAATAGGGGACTCAACATTTTTGCAGTAGAAGTGGCACCAAAATCCATGATGGTAATGTTATCATATCTCTCATTGAAATCTAAGTAAAAATTCCTAGCATCTTAACAGTTTGCTTTTCAGATCTTTTTGTAGTAATATTGAGCATATGAATACAAATCAAGAGGAGGAAATGTACATCTTCATGGGAAATACATGAGATGTAGGGCCTGATTTTCAAAATTGTGCACCTACCTGGAATGTGCAGGTACTTCCCTATAGAGAGGTCAAAATCATTTACTTACTGTCATTGCAGATAATAATTTTGAGCCAATACTTTTGAATATTTCCTAATTTTTTTTAAAAAGTAAGCTCCTAAAGTCAGTAAAAATGAAGTTGCCATTGCAGAATAATTTTTATAAATGCTAATAAGGTATTTATTTTCAAAGAGGAGAGGTTTTACATGGATTAGTATTCAGTTTGAATGAATATCCTTCTCAAAGGATTGGCATCAAATTTTATTTCATGATATGCATTGTTGCAGCAATGTGCAGTAAAATGATGTGCACATTATATCAACATCAAAGGGAGATAGTTAACATAACAACCAGATTTTTTTTATCAGTATCAGTTGGTTTATATTGTTAACAACATTCAGAAGTAAAGACTTAAAAACTGTTACCTCTAGCCGCTTTTCAGAGTTGCCAACTGTCTGTAAATTTATGGACAGATTATAAAAAAACAAGGTTAATAACACCTGTTCATAAAGTCTATAAAAAGAAAAGGGGAGCTCTCTTAAAAAAAAATTTAGCAACTGGAGCTTGAGTGAAGATTTCTGGGCAGAAAGAAAGTGGAGATAAAGTGTTGAAGGACAGATAGACAGTAGACCAGTGTCATCTACTGTGTGAGTGGTAGTGCAGTACCCTGTAGGAAGCAATCTCTCCAGGCTTTGCTCCCCATAGCACTTTCCCTA